ATAACCTATATAGATCCTTTATCTCCTATACTAAAGTTTAGTTCTAGTATTAGTTTAGGAGTTTAGAGCCCTATTAGCTTAGGGGACTTTATATAGATCCTTTGTGCTAAGCTAGCTATACTTAGTACCTACGCTAGAGGTGTCTACTTAGGGGGTTATAAATTACTAGGCTAGCTAGCCTAATTATCTACCTCCTCTAGCTCTACCCTACCCCCTAGCTCCTACGCTAGGTTTAGTCCTTCTTGCTTACTAGACTCCTTATATTACTCTGCTATAATACAAAGCTAATTAAAGATATTAAGCTCTTTATATACTTCTCCTATATTATAGATCTTATCTTTACTAATAATATTAACTATCTTTTAAGCCTCTAACTATTAAAGCTGCTCTAGATCTTTCTCTTTATAGAAAAGATCCTTATTAAAGGTAACGTTCTACGTTATAATAATCTAATTAAGCAAGGGGATTTATATCCTATATATATTAGATACTCTATATCCTACTAGATATCTAATATAACCCTAAGGGTTCACCTTAAAAACCCTCTTGTGACGCCTAGCTACTTAATCTCTATTAAGGGGGTAAGCTTAATAGCTATAGGCGTATATTCTGCTCTAATTAGGGCGGAGATTAGCAGTTACCTCCCTTATCTACTCTAGTTGCTACTACCTAAAGTATCTAGTAAACTAACAATCTAGCACTTTATTAGGTAATATTATATTATAAGTATAGGACAGGCTTATATTATAGAGCTAAGTTACTACTTTAATAATTTTAGGCTAGAGCTTTATTAGTAGGTTAGCTCTAATCCTTATTTTTATTAATTTTGTTATAATCTCCTACCCTACTCTTTCTGCTCCTCTATTAGGTTTATAGGTATATATAGGTAAGCTCTTAATCTTAATACTATTATTAGCTACCTAGATCTAAAAGCAAGATTTGCTACGCTAAGGGAGTGTTATAATATTATTATCTTATATAATTTTAACTATACTAAGCTTAAAAGTTAAGCATTAAGCTCTTAAAATTTTAAAACACCTATATAATCTTATTAAGGTTTTTAGCTTATAGTAGATAGGTATTAAGCTTTCCTAAGTAGTTGCACTTTAATACTAAGATCTATTACTCTTAAGCTATACCTATTAGTATATTAAATAGATCCTATAATACCTAGTAGTATAGATATAGTAATCTTTCCCTTAGTTATCTTAATATAACCTATTAGGTATATATAATAGTGTAGTGCTTATATTTACTCCTAGGAGTTCCTTTAATCCTAATATTTATTACTAACTTAACTAGAGCTTTAGGCGCCTTAGGTCCTAAATAGCCTAATTATTAGTGCTAAAGCTCCTTACTATTATATCTTAGGTAAGTTATCTAGGATTATTAGGGTTATTTAGGCACTATACTTTAGATTATTAGATAAGGAGTAGAGGGCTTATATTCTAGAAAAGTTAAGTTAAACTTACGCAGTAACTTAGCTAATATAACGCTCTTTTCTAATAGTATCTAAACTATAAGGTAGTATCTAGCCTAAGGAACTAAACTCCTGCTTTAAGTAATTAAGCTTCTAATATAATATTTATATAAAAACCTTCTACTAACACCACGTTAGTAAGCACCAAATCTTCTATTTTTGGACCTCTTGGTCCATTAAGAGCATTAGGGATCACTCTAGTCCCTCTGCCTAAGATTAGAAAAGCTTAAGTTCCTGCTTTAACCGTTTTATATTTAACTAATCTAAACAAGCTTTCTTCTAGGTAGCTTATATTATTAACTAGGTGTACTACACCCCTGTTGTTAAGGATAGTGCTCTTTAATAGAGCGTAAGCTTTAAAGTCTATAGTTAAATAGATTCTATTTGTTTTCTCTACTATTAATATAGGGTTAATTAGTGCCACCTAGATACTACCTAGATAGGTAATTGCGTTTTCTTTTACCTTACTACTATAATCTTAATTAATAGGATAGGACTTAATTAGAGCTTTTCTTATCTCTTTAGATTTTTAATTGCTATTAATCTTTTTCTTAATCTCTAATTATTAAGTAGTAGTAAGCTTATTACCTATATTAGTCTAAGCTTTAATAATATTTTTATATTTAGGAGGTTTCTATATATAGGATCTACTATATAGGTATAAAGACTCCTTCTTAGGTTAATTAGAAGGTAGAGCTCCTATTATTGCAAACACTCTAGGACCTTTAGAGCTTAATCTTATATTATTTTTTTAGAGAAGTAATAAATAGATCTTAGTAACCTATAGGAGGTTATAAGTTAGCTCTCCTATTACTAACTTTTTAATAATCCTTTAAAATATAGTTTAACCCTAATCTAGTAAGATCCTAGTAGATAAAGCTTTAAAATAGTCCTATACTATAAGCTATCTTTTAATATTAGGAACGTTATATACCTTAGCTTGCGTATATTAGATTATCTACTCCTTCTACTAGTAATTAGCGTTTTAGCTACTTATCTTTACCTTAGTAAGATAAGCTTTATACTATAATCTTACTAGTATTATAGCGCTTAAATTATTTAGTGCTAGGTTATTATAGAGCACTTAGATAAGTGCTTAGAGGGTTACTCTTCCTTAATTAATAAGCTCTATATAGGCTAGGGTAAGGATCCCTTAGTTTACTATATTATTAACCTATATAAAAAGGTTCTAGATTACTAATAACTTTAATACCTAATCTAATAAGCAAGCTTAGTACTAGGCTATTTAGAGTTTATACTACTCGCTTATTATATTAAATAGTATAATACCTATTAGTATACTAGGCTTAATTAGTTTATTCTTAAAGTAGTTTTTAGTATCCTAAGTATTAGGGTCTACCTCTACCTAGATCCTTTTAGTTAGGGTATAGTATCTAAATTAAATATACTAGGTAGGCTAGTTAGTTAATCTAGTAAGTAGGATATCCCCCTTTAGAATTTAGTTACTTATAGTAGAAGAGTAATAAGTAAGCTTCTACTTAAGAAATAGTATAAAAAAAGATAAAGCTTGCTAGCTTAGTATCTAAGTTAAATAATATACTTAAATAGATAGGATAATCTTTAATAAGGTAAAGTATAAACTAGGCTTATAACTATAGAAATCTAGATTACTAAGGTTAGGAATAATTTAGGAGATAGATTATTAGATTATATCTACTATAATTAGACTTATATATATAGAGCTTTAGCTACCCTTACTAGAAGGTAAATAATTAGTAAACCTTCCTTACTAGAGCTCCTGCTTTTTATTAGGCACTTAGCAGTAAGCTAGCAGTTAATTAGATAGTGGGTCATGCAGGGGTATTAATTAGGATTAATTGGATCAAGATGCTCTATAATCTAGTAAATATCCCTCCTGCAACAAATACCTATAAGACTTAATACAGATAGTGATAATTTGTTTAACAATTAATTAATATTTATTATCCTTATCTACCTAGCAAACCTCTATTATTTAATGTAACGTTATATATTAGTTAGGTATTATAGCGTATAATAGAATTAAAACTGCTTTTTATACTTAATTTAAACCCCTAATAATATAGTATATAACTACTTTAGATATATATAGGGATATATTTCTAGGTTATTTACGCCTATAGTATAAACGCTAGTCTACTATTCTACTATACGTAATTTTGTACTATAGTAAGAGGAAGTAAATATAATTAGAGTTCCTGGTAGAAGGTACGCTAGAGTCTACTATAGCAAAATAATTTTATTTATATTATTTTTCTAGCGCTAGGTAATAGTGCGTAGCTTCTTGCTAACTATTTAAGTATTTTTACCCTTCCTTTGCTTAATCTTTCTGCTACCTCTACTACTACCTCTATTACTACCCTTATAGTAGAATACTAACCCCTATACTACTATTTTACTGTAAACCATTTTAGACTACAGTGACACTAATGCTTTTAAGGCCTTTATTATAAATTTTACATCTTCTAGACGTAAGCGGTAACACAGCTATTGTAATGCGTTGTAGTAGCAGCTTCTATATCCACACTATTTATAACAGACGCTCAGAACGCGGTTAAGAAGATTATTAAGAGGGCCGACAATCAGTTGAAGCATCAATTTGGATAGCAGCCTAGAAAGCAAGTGGAGAACATGCTTGCGAAAGTTTATAAGCAAGAAGAGCCATTGAAACCAAGAAGAAAAATGAAGATACTGTATGAAAACAGTGTCGGTTAGGTCCACGAGTAACAGCAGTACTTGGTTAGTGATTGGGACACTGATCCACGCGCTGGCTGAACCGCCAGTTTATCCAGCATCTGCTACGGCTCCAATAAGACTAAAGTAAAAGTGCAGGCACTTATCCATGCCCCAATATACGTGCTACAGTCTTCATGTGGGGTCTAAGTATTGTTGATTCTATCTCACCTTCTGACATGTTCTTTTTGGTTTCACGTGCTGGGCCACCTTTCAAGTCTGGTAAGCAGCTCATTCACATTCCCGTCGAAGTTCCAGAAATAAATCGGCTCAGAACGGCCGATGATCGAGAACAGGACCAGAATATAGAAGATTTGGTAATGGGCAAAGAACAAATGTCTCACTCAATTGACTTGGCCTTTAGTATGCTTTTAACTTGACCATGAGCATGCGTAGTGAAGATCCCATCAGGGCTACCAAGAAGAAACGAGGCGAATTACATTTAAAGTCATTGGTCAACTACTTTGGGATGAAGAGGCGAGCATGTGTGTACCCCGCCTACCTGCTAGGCGTGGCATAGGCTCCTGTCCGCACAGCGTTCTGCCCTTGTAGCGGCTATAAGACAGACATTTCATGCCCAGTTTTTTTTGGCAGCGTTCAGAGTGCCTATTTGCTCTGATGGCTGTGTCGGAAACCACGTTTTGATGTCGCGTTCGGTTTGTAGGGTCCTTTCGATTTAGTCGCAAGCTAATTCTTGCAATATTCAATTTCCGCTTCCCTTTACAGTAGCATGCGGGAAGACATGGGTATTTCCCTAACTTGTTTCTCTGGAAGCATCAATATGTAGTCACATCGCTAATTACGGTAGGCTAAGGTGTCCAGAAAGTCTTAGGCAGACGTACAGATTTTGTCGGAGCGCCGCTCGTGTGTATTGACCACTTGCTTACGCACCGTTGCGCTTGAAATTGGGGCAGCTCTGAGGGTGTAGTCTATTGATATACTAAAGAATATCATGATCTTAAGTCTACGGTATAGTGCAATGGATCTTTGACAAACCTTGGACTTGGGTTCTGTTTCACAGCATGGTTTCGACCTACAAAGGCCAGCTCGTGAAACGATCCATATTCACCCACTACGTGCTATGGTACCATAGCTAGTTCAAGTTGCACAGCTCGGAGAATTTATGTGCCAGATCTACTACAACAGGGCCTC